TCTGCCGTCATGTCTGCCGATCTTGATCAAAACCCCTCCCCCGCCGACCTAGCCGAACGCGAGCGCGAGAACAAAGAGCGTAAAGCCCGCGAGGATGCCGAACAAGCTCAGCTCCCTTACAAGTGGACACAGACTATTCGTGATGTGGATGTGACAGCACCAATTCCGAGTAATCTCAAGGGCCGCGACTTGGATGTGCTGTTGACCAAGAACAAAATCCGTGTCGCGATCAAGGGTCAAGAACCCCTCATCGAGGTATGTGTCAACTGTGTCTCCACCCGGAGAATTACACCGGACACTCTAAATCAACACATCAACTCAAAAGGCAGTTTGCTAATTACCTCCATTTTCCTATTCAGGGTGACCTCCCCCACCCGATCCTCGTTGATGAATCCTCTTGGACCCTCGAGACTACCCCCACCCCGCCCGGAAAGGAAATCAATATCCACCTCGATAAGGTGAACAAGGTCGAATGGTGGCCCCATGTCGTGACCACTGCTCCCAAAATCGATGTCACCAAGATTACGCCCGAGAACTCCAGTCTGGGCGATCTGGACGGCCAGACTCGCGCCATGGTCGAGAAGATGATGTATGATCAACGGCAGAAGGAGATGGGTGGTCCTAGTAGTGACGAGCAGCGGAAGATGGATTTGCTGAAGAAGTTCCAGGCTGAGCATCCCGGTAAGTTGTTATCGTCCCTGTCATCTCTTGCTGGTCACTTCGATCCCCGGAGACGACATCGGGAGTGCATTCTTGCGTTTGAATATGTTGCTAACCTGCGCTCTTGCAGAGATGGATTTCTCTAATGCCAAGATGGGCTAAACCCAAGATTAGTATTCAACGATACCTAGCCGCTTTGTTCCCTACGCAAAAGTTATTATCAATGTATGAAGTATGAGCTATGCGCATGGATGATCTTCGATGAATGATGAATTGCATGGCGTTTCTCGAATCCAATTCCCAACACTTGGTATGGGTCTACAGTTTATATATTCTTGACAGTAGATGTCTTTTAGTCAGATTCCTGGTCAACTTCTCGTTTATTCTCTAGTCATTCTGCCAACGTTTGACACTTGGGAATACGAGAATTACCATATCGGGAATAGCGCCCGGGCGTTCTAGTCGATCTTCCCTTCGCCTCCGTATTCTCCGTCGCCACTTGGCATCTCACTCTATTTGGACAAACTAAGTGATCAGGCTGATTAGAACAAGCCGCAGTTCCACACACTTGAGCCTCCACTTATCGCCTTGCGCCCGATTTGGATATCAGCCGCAGGGCTATATCAAAACCCAATATCTTGATACTTGAAGCGCTGGATTATTCGTATAATTTTCAGCGTACATCTGATTTAATAGACCATCGCCAAATAACCCACTGGTCAAATTTATACTCCAAAAAACAAAAACAAAAAGACAATGGATGATGTGCAGTCTAAACCCCAAACCCGGCCACGCTCGTCTAGGCACGTGCAGGGACAGAATATGGTCTTTCGAATCCCAAACTACAAATCAAAGACTTCACTAGACTGCGGGTCCGAACAGTCTGAGCAGGTCTATCATTCCCGCCGGTCTCATCGGAAATCCCGGGCCGGCTGTGTGAACTGTAAGCAACGAAGAGTCAAGGTATTTCCGACGCCCCCATTATCAACTACCAGCTGATAATGATCGATCAAGTGTGATGAAGCAAAACCACATTGTCTGCGATGTCAAAAACATGGCATCGAGTGTGACTACTCGAGCCAGCCAGCCCGACCTCAAAAGACCAACAACATCGTTTCCCAATTCATCGACACCAACCCTGACTTGATTTCGATTGATTCTCTAGCCCCTTCAATGTCCCTAATGATGGTTGCAGACAAGTTGACCGAATTGCTGCATCCACCATCTGCAAATGGTACCAAACTGTCAAAATTAACCCTAGAAGCATTGCATCATTTCCACAAGGGCCCAGCCTTTGCAACCGAAAGCCAAACACCCGTTCGAATCGTAATGGGTAAAATGGTCCAACTTGCCTTTGAAGTAAGCCTATTCATACTTCATCTATACTCACCACCATAGCCATACCCCCAAACAAACCTTACACACAGCCCTATAGCCTCCCTAATGCAACATGCAACATCAAAACTAACCTCAGACCACCACAGACCCCCTTCCTCATGCACGCCATAATAGGAGCAGCAACAACCCACCTCTGCACCCTCCTCCCCGAAAACAAAGACTACCGCCTCGCAGAAGCCTACCACTGGCAACAAACAATAAACCAATACTCAATAGAAGTCTCGAAAAAAATAACCTATTCAAACATGGACAAACTCTACTCTGCCTGTCTAATGATCAGCATGCACTCCTTCTACCAAGAAACCTTCAGTCCACGCACCTCCTTCGTCTTCACAAAAGACCCAACATCCCTAACCTGGCTCCGCCTCCAAACCGGTCTCCGCTACCTCCTCGAACGTACAACCCCCTGGCTCCCGCAGAGCATGTGGTGGACAGTATTCATGGAATCGCGGGATCCATCCCTAGACTACGAAGATAAGCGTCCCGGCCGCGTGGATCTTGATCCGGATTTGGCGGATCTTTGTGGGATTGGAGATCAGACGACTGTTGAGGAGAATCCGTATTTGTGGCCTTTGAGGATGCTTATGGCATTGTTGCCGTTTGAGAGGGTTACGGGTAGTTCGAAGTTTTATAATACTTGGATGGGGAGGCTGGAGAATCCGTATTATGAGTGCTTGCTTAGGAAGGAGACGCCGGCGTTGGTTTTGTTGGCTTGGTGGTTGGGACTTATGTGTTATGTTGAGGAGTGGTGGGTTGAGATGAGGGTTCGTTCGGAGTGTACGGCTATCTGTATGTTTTTGGAGGATAGTTGTGATCCGTTGGTTTTGAGGTTGTTGGAGTTTCCGGCGTCATGTTGTGGGTATTTGCTTAGGCATGAGCAGGAAAGGGCCAGGGTTCTTGAGTTGAATTGATGTTGGTTTTGGGTGAAGTTGGTTAATTCGATTTGTCGCGTTGATACCCTGTTTTTGTTGGTTTGCCTGCATGAATGTATGTATCTAGGTGTGTTTTATCGAGGGTTATAGCAATAAAGCTAGATCTGGATCGTCCAATTTGACAAAGTGTCTATAATGCATTCGGTTTATCATAATTGTTACACTATTTATGCCTGCCAGGATGCGAGCGAGAACCAAGGTAACCGAAGATCTCGATACGGTGTTCTCCCTCACCCACGGCAGACGAGTATGTGCAGGTCAATATTAGTATCCAAAGCTATCCAAGAGTAAATCTCTTTTGCCCAATTCCCAGTCGTGTAAACATACCATCAGCATCCATAAATGATGTCGTCGCGTCATGTGCAATAAACCAGTACGATAATAAAAGAAATAAGCAGAATGGAGAGCGATGAAGCAATGATGTAAAAAAAAAAAGTAAAAGAAATCCACGACGGGCGATTCCAGATCTGCCCAGACCAAAAGATCGACGTGGGAAAATATTAAACAGGCAGCTGATAAGCAAAAAGGCAGCAAGCAAACGTTCTTTCCGTAATCATTAAACGAGGTTGTATCACCGGCTCTCCCAGGAGACTCGTCGGTGACGGCGAATAGACCGGTCATCCTCCTCAGAGTATGTAGGTCCAGTCCGGGAGCCGTCCATACGAGCGGCAGGCGGCGGATTAATGATGACCGCCATAGCGGACGAGATGGACATGGACCGAGAACGACTCAGCATTGCAGAGTGACGAGGAGAGTATGGCGGTGGTGGGGTGTCCCTCGTTGCGGTGGAGGTATTGCCGTAGCTGCTGGGAAAGGAAATGGCCGATGAACTATCGGAGGTGAGATCTTCGTCGTAACGACTGGCGTTTTTTTCGTCATGGGGGTAGGAGTTCTGAGACTCGGAGGAAATAGCTGGGTCACGCATATGGGCTTCTAGAGTCTTCTCGTGGAGGCTCATTGGACGGGCTGTGTACTGCGGGAGAGGGACCACGCTGGAATAGCCCCCATCCTCCGAGTCAGAGGGTGGGGGTCCGTGCCCATGGCCCCCGGTTGGGGGTGCTGAACGAATAAATTCGCCTTCTTCAGAGAGGGTAAACTGTCCTGTCTGGATGCCGTTGGGATTGGATCTTTGGATCATCATCTCTGGGGATGAATGGGACTGCGGGGATTTCTCGTCTTGGGTGAAGCACCCGCAGAGTGCCGAGAGGAACGACATGACTCAATGAGGTAGTTGTCTATTTTCTAATTGACAGTGTTGAAGCCAATAGTAATATGATTATGGCGAGAGGAAGTTGGTCCGTGAGATCTGTAATAAGAAACAGTTCCAGCCAAGAACTATCGTATGAGCAGTGCCGTTGAGCCTCAAACGCTGATCGTGGGCTGAACCCCACTTGCGTTTATAAACCCCGGACCTGAACCGGACAAACAGCGAGAATATGAATCAAATATGAATCTCTCGATAGACATGCTCATACAGAGAGAGAAAAGAAGAAGATGAGGGGTGAAAAAAAGGCCAGATGAAAGCTGACTCGGACAAGGCACCCGCAGGCATCCAAATTTCCGGAAACTCTAATTGGCTCGCGATACGACAGTATAGATGCCTGAGGCACTAAAATTGGAATCCTTCAAGGTTGGACCTCGGGAAGAATCGCTGGTTACTAAAGGTTATAAAAGGTTATATATAGAAATTTCCTCTTCGCAGTTTATATACTAAGGATCATCTCAAAAAACAACTAAAAAGACATACGACTGACGGGTTAATCGGATTTGCTATAGTATTGGATGTCTTTTCAGATGTATGTGAGGAGGACTTTGTAGTTATGTATATCCTTTGACATGTAAATGGCTTATGAATTGCCTTTTTGAGTTAGTTTTGCCATTTTGGGTTTCGCGCCCTTTGACCAATAAAATATATTAACCAAAATAGAAATAATGTTATCAGAAACATTTACAAATTAGACATAGTAATAAACAATGACATCTGCCCGTGAAACGAAATTGATATAAAAATCAACCCTGAGAGAATTGTTCACCCAAGTTAACTTACAAGGGAGAGGAGGAGGATGATGGGGAACAACTCGACGGCTTCCGAGCCCAGCGCCTCTTCACATCACCTGGTTAGCCAAACTGATTTTAGCCAGTCATTAGGAGTAACCAAGTACTCCAGCGAGCTCCGCGTACGTGCCACACACTCGCGGTAGAGACAGTTATTATCCCACCGCCAGCTACACAGGAGGGTACGGAGCTTTTCCCCCTCGTGCCCGCAGATGACGGCTACGACAGGCGGTCGCTCTGCTGCAATCACAAATACAGTTAGGTCACCCGTATCCATGATGGTGAACAGCCGATGACTCAGTGGAAGGTTTGTGGGCATTCGGTTGCAACCCCCAGCGAAGCGCCGTATCGGGCTGGGAGAAGGTGGACGATGAGGGTGTATAGGTTAGATGATGGTTGCAATTGCCATATATTGCCTTTTCAATCTGTGCTAGGAGTAGATCATATTATTAGTCTCACGTCATGAATGACAAAAGCCACATGAGCGGCCCACTGTTCTTGTAAACATAGAATCAAGAAAGATATGTGCTCGAACAAAGTTTTGTCGGATTGGTCTGTATTGTAAATGTAGGGGTCCAATCAGTGGTATTCAACTCTCTGTATTTCTGTATCGGCTCTTGGTACAATTTATATGGAGCCATGATTACATAACATTAATTACAAAAATGTGTAGGATTAATAAATCCCCCGGTATGCCGGTCGTCATGCTCCGACACACCCCCTCAGCTATCCCAGTATGGGATTGCTGGACTTGTTAGATCGGCATATTGATCTCCATGGTTTAATTGACTAGGCCATTAGATAGCCTATGTCCACCATCCTGAGCATCCTTAGGAAGCTCTCATGCTTCTGGCGAGATAGCATCTTTGTGAGTCCATCTGCGACCATGCTCGCCGTCGGCACCCATCGCACCATTATGCGTCCTTCTCTAACCTCTTGCCGAAGCCAATGATGATGAATATCGACATGCCGAAGCTTCGTTTCGAAGGCAGTGTCCTCACTAGTAAGTAGGCTGATCGTTCTCTCGTTGTCGCAGTCGATCGTCATATTGTGGGAGGGTTCAAAACCGAGGCTTTTTAGTAGTCGACGCCACCATTGAAGTTGCTTCCCTGTCTCTGATAGGCCTAGCAGCTCTGCTTCAGTGGTTGACGTTGTCACGGTGGGTTGCTTGCTCGCTTTCCAGTCAACTGGTCCACCATAAGCTTAACAGATGTAGCCTGCAGAGCTCTTTCGATCTGGGTGATCTCCGTATGAAGCATCGCTTGCGAACTGTATGGAATCGATTCCAGTGCTTACTGCGTCTGCACTATATTCAATAGCTAGGTTCCGGGTAGTATATAGGTAACTGATGACCCGGTCAGCTGCTTGGTAGTGCTGGGGCCCTGGATTCGTCAAGAACTGAGCTAGTCGAGCGGTGGCCTTTGCAGCATCTGGCCTAGTGATAGTGGTGGCATAGCCTGCGGATCCAACCTTCTTTTGATAGAGAAGGATCTCCTTCGGGGTGGCTACGCCTTGGTAAGGCGTCAATTCGTCAACTGGTAGTGGCGTATAGATAGGTGGTCGATCTGTCAAATTGTAGCGGGTAGCAATGCTTGTCATATAGCTATCTTGACATAGCCAGAGCTTCTTCTGCTTCCTATCGCGAATAATTCGGATATTGAGAAACCATAATGCTTCTCCATGATCTGTCAGCTCCCAGTGGGCTTCTAGATCTCGCTCCAATTGCATGGCTCTTGCCTTAGCATTTGCATGGCTAGCAATTAAGATATCATCCATATAGAAGAAGACTATTAGCCCTTCTCCGACGAAGACATAAGGGTCTTCTGGTGCTTGTTGCAGACCTAGTTTTCGGAGTACACTAGCTGCTTCTTGTTGCCAAAGACGTGGCGAGATCCGTAAGCCGTACAATGCTCGACGAAGCTTCCAGCATTTACCTAGGGACTGGAACCCTTCTGGTATCTGCGTATACGTCGGTTTCTCTTGGCTTAGCTTGCTATTCAGAAATGCAGTGATAGCATCTCGCTGACGGAGGTCTAGGTCAAAGGCAGCGACTAGTGCAAAGATCATTCTTGCTGTTCTTGCTGCTAGCGTAGCAGCTCTCTTTTCTTTATAGGTAATCGTCTTAAGATCCCTACGAACACAGATTCGAGCCTTCAATTTCAAAAGGTAACCGTCCTGGTCGAATTTGTATACAAAAACCCATAGTAAGGGAAGGATTTGTATCCCTCGATCCTTTGGCTTTTTAATGACTTCGAATGTCTCTTTTTCAGATAGAGAGTGGATCTCTTTCTTCATTGCTGCGAGAAAACCTTACTGAAAAGGATGATTTATGACATCCTTCTAGTACTTGGGTGGTGGTGGGAGATCATCTCGATAGCGGCGAGCGTTTGGTTTCTCGGCGTATAGACCAGCTGCAAATGCATGTAGTAGAGCCGGTAGCTCTTCTTCGTCAATACCCTGTACTATAGTGGTTGTATATACAAAATCGTCATCTTGTTTTGCTTTGCGTATTCGACGTCCACTTAGTATGTTGCTGGTATCTATATTGCTGGAGATCTCTCTGCTTAGTGCTAGCAGTTCTGCCTGGAGCTGTCTTTCTAGCTCATTTTCCACCTCTCTATTGGGTTCTTCATTAGGTTCTCCATTAGCTTCTTCATTGGCTTCTTCATAGGCTTCTTCATGGGCCTGATCTTCACTGAGCAGTTGATCATCTAGATCATGCGTATCCACCCCCTAATCAGGGCCAGTTTCCACCCCTTGCTGTAAGCCAGTTTCTTCATTTGGTGGGGTTAATGGTGATGGATCTTGATCCTTCTGTATATCCTAGATCTTACCGGCTTCTTTTCTGACCGAGGTCAGAAGTATAGGTGGTAGGCTTATTGGGGTAGGCATTAATGCCTGCCTGCTTACCCCCTGAAGTGGGGTGATCTCTCGGTAGTCAACCTCACTTAGCTGAATATCTTATGAAGTATCTAGTAGAGTATCTGGTAGAGTATCTGGAAGAGCATCTAGAAGAGCATCTGGTAGAGTATCTGGAAGAGCATCTGGTAGAGCATCGTCGGTTTCATCTTATCGGTTTTGATACTCACTTTCCGGCGTACTAGTTGCTTCCTGGCTAGCGATCTGATGGTTGATGATTTGCGCCACTTCGTCGGGCGTAATCTCTTCTGGCTCTCTCACTAATGGTAGTGGAATAGGCTGAGATTTCTTATAGTCCGGCGAGTATTTACGTGCTTCATTAATGACTGCATCTCGTATATACCTCACTTTCCCACTGTGTAGAAACCAGATTTTGTAGATATTAGATGCCAAGTATCCGACTAGGAAGCCGACCTCTGCTCTTAGATTTATCTTATCTGACTGGATCTGCCTCTCAATGCGGCAGTACGCCAAACTTCCATATAATCTAACATTTACTAGATTGATCTTCGGGGCTGTTGGAGCAAATTCTCTTCTTACTTCTTCCTATGGTATTAACCACTTGTTCTCAGAAGCAATGTATATAGGGGTACGGTTCAATAACCACACTGCAGCGCTTACGAATTCAGGCCATAGGTCTTTCGGAAGCTTGCCTTCAAGAGAGAGCATACGCATACGGGTAATGATCATCCCGCCAGATCTCTCGGCATACCCATTCATCTCTGAGTAGCCGGGTGGAGTATAATATATCAAGATACCATCGCTTGTCAAACTGTGCTCCGCTGTTTTGCCTGCTGCAGCTTCATTGTTATAGTGAAATGCCTTGATAGGTAGATTCCACTGATTCCTTACTAGCTGTACGAACTGGTTGATCGCCAGCTGGCATTCAGGCTTCACTTCATGTGTCATTATCCAATGGAATCGTACTCCTTCCATATAGAAATGAGATATCCATCGGTGTCTATTGTATACTAGCGGCAGTTGTATGAGATCAAAGTGGATCCTTCTAAATCGTCCAAAAGTACGTCCTACTAGCCGGCGAGAGATCTGTTTTGGTGCTCTCCCAATATGACAGGTTTGGCATAATGAAGCTTCTTCTTGCTCTGCTTCCTAGAGGACTATACCATCTACCATAGTAGCAAGCTTAGCTACGGCGCGGGGCTCAATATAAGCAAGTCGCCGATGCCAGATGTCAGCCGATACCTTTGATTCCTGCGGCTTTACTAAGGATCTCTGTGTGGCATATGCTTGTTGCGGTAGAACCTCTCCTAGTTCATCGAAAATCCAGAGGTTAAACTGGTCCCATAGATGTACATTGACAACAGGTAGATCCTTTAGATCTCGGATGCAGTTTGTACGTTGACACCAGGTGCCCCCCTTCTTCTTTAGCATCGCGTACGACACTAGATTTGTATGGAAGCTAGGCGAGTAGAGAGCATCACTCAATGTGATTTCCATTCTCCCTTTCTGTGGATGCTTGCCGACTAGTCGAACTTTGCCTCTCCCTAGCACCTACGTAGTACTGTCACCAGTTGTCAAATCTATGACTTCCGGCGTAAAATCAATAAACAGTGCTCTGTTATTGCATACATATGAACTGGACCCAGTATCAAGAATCCATCGATTGCGGAGAGAGAGCTCGCCAGTCTTTGCAGCTGAGAGTGCATGCTTGCCAATCTGTATAGCTTCACTTAGTAGCTTACCTTGGTGCTTGCCCTGGGGCTTGCCCTGAGGCTTGCTCTGAGGCCTGCTCTGAGGCCTGCCCTGTTGCTTACTCTGGTAGGTGGTGGCGAAGCTAACGTGGTTTACAGATTCATAATGCTTTGATTTAGCTTCATTAACAGCTTTGTCGACCTATTGCTTCCACCCTGGATCATTTGCTAGCTTCTTTCTAGCTCTCTCTAGCTTCCCTTCGTCTAGGGTATATCCTTCTGGGCGTATAGCTTCATTCATAAGCCAGCAGTTGGCCACCTTGTGGTGTGGATGACCATTGCCATATGGACATTTTCTCTTCTCGAATGGAAGCTTCTCTTGCTTCGCTTCCGGCTTTGCTTCTCGATGACCTTGCCAGGTTGAAAAAGCACTTTTTGGAGCATTAGTTGAGGTCACAGTTTTGACGCCTATCTCCCGATTCATTGCACGGAATGATTCAAGAAGATCTCGAGTGTCATATTTCTTCTTATCCATAACAATCTCTTGGTATTTTCCTTGCCACCAGATTGGCAGTACCTCTTTAACTGCATATAGGAAGTCTCGATTGGAATCTGCATCGCTAATGCCGAGGCTAATAGCTTGCTCTCTTAGTGAATTCCACTTTTGAAGCCACTGCTCAATATTACCGGTTGGTTTCTGCATGGC